TCAAGTCACATCATACTAAGCATCCATTGAAAAACTATTTCTTCAATATTATGATCCTTGCTTGAATATCTTCTAGATATGAATATTGAGATCAATCAAGCTTCAGTTGGATTCACATAGATTGAGATATATGAATCAACATCAATATGGTCAAGCCAATTCATGATTCCTTATATCCTATTTATTTTAGCTTGACACTCCTAACACTCACTTCAATGTCTATCTTCATACTTCTAGCTTGATCAAATCCATGCAAAGTGATTTTCCAAATCTTTATCCATACAAGCAAACCAACATAGAGACTGACTTATATCCAATATGAGTTGTGTCCTTTATCATTTAACATTTGCTTGGTATTTCTTCACTTACGCATTCTTGACTCATTCTTCAATCCTTGATCAAAGCTAATCCACTATCAAACTCTTCTTGTTCATGCAAAGCAAGCCATTATTGAGACCAATCCAAAATCATCAACTCATGTCTCATTTACCATTTTGCCAAATATGCTTGCTTCTCATGATACTATGATATCCCACAATATAGAAGTCATTTCATCAACTCCATTTGCATTGTTGTCTTTTTCTTAAACTATATTGTTTCCATAAGCTTCCAACATAGCACACAACTTTGGCCTTGATTTGAACATTATGTGGAATATCATCAAGTTTGTTTTCTTGTTGAATCTATATACACTTCTCATTCCATAATCCACAAGTATATGTAATAAACTTAATTTTATATTCAACACTTAACAAACTTGTTAGACCTTTAATAGTATTATCATTTAATTCACCAAAACCTACAAAAGGGCTAGATGCACTTAAAGGGGGTGGGGGGTACCCATGGTTTCAGTTCAAAAGAAGATATGGTGAAATGGGACATAGGTACAAAGCTACCCCCAAATGCCTATTATATGGAACCAAGAAATTATAAGTTTGCTATTTAGGTATTTATTTCAAGCTAACCCCAAATATCTATTCCAATGAGATTAAAAAAAGAGAGGTGACTGTATGAACCCAACCCAAATTTATATTGGTTGTTGTCGGCACGAAAATGTGTCGACACACGGCAAACCGGAAGGATCTGCTTGATAGAGCAAGGCTGGAGATCCGCTTGGCTTCAACCCAGGGGTAACCAATCCTACGAATTCCTCCTGAGATATGCCAGTCAATTTGACTTGCAATTGATAAGGAAAGAAAGTTTATCAGTAATTTAAGGTAAAACATGCTGGTCTTTGCCCATACAGTTCCAAGTGTGCCGCTTCTGGAGTAGCCAGACGGAAAAATTGACTAAATAGCCAATACGCGCAGAAATCAGCTGTTACGGACTGTAAAGCTCGTGGGTAGCGATTGATTTTATGTTGACAGGTATAGTACACGTAGATGTAAGTGAGACCATCAGCTAAGCAGATATTACCAGTATAAAGCATTGAGCCGATGAATCTAATGAGAAAGGATATAGCATGCGAACAAATCGACTGTCTAATACAAATAGATCCATAAACGCTCTGAATCTAATCTGTTATCATCAACAGTGTGGTTCGACCGGATCGATGGTAGCTATGATGATAATAACAAACTAAAACCAAAGAATCTACAAAAATATCTATACTTCGACAGGCTTTCCGAAAGACATGCTATACGTGAAGGCTCGGATAAATCGGCTAAAATAGCCGATTTAGGTGAAGAGGAACTACGGCGTGTGAATAATCGACTATTTCACATGGACAAACTTATGGACTCATCAGACTTAACCTGCTATCTCTAACTGTGGGGTTCGACCGGATCGATGCAGCCATGATAAAGACAACAAATCAAACCTTTAAAGTAAACAGATCTATTCACGTTTGACAGAATCATGTAAACACACTGTAGGCATTAACGTATAGGCGATCAGCTATTTAGTCGATGCAGGCATAGCAAACAGTTAAGGTCACGCCTAATCGAGAACAAATCTATTAACTAGCATCCTCCAGCCTACAGTGCCATTAGTGTGGATCAACTGAATCGTTACAGCCATAATAGCGAACTATAGATTAGATTTAACTAGCCAGCAAACCTCTTCAAGATCATACATGTCTTAACCGCGTACTATACACGATCAAGATCAAAGTAAAAACAGCCGATGAAACATAACCCGTCGCTCAGAGTAAGAAATATCGTGTTGTGACAAAGCAAATGACAAACTAAAAGGATGTAAGGCCGATCTAAATTGATCTCGACCGGACAGATTAATGTTGCTGCAAACTTATAACAATAAGAACATCAGCAAGATTAGTAACTTAATGAATCTACCCGAAGGACGCCACCCCTAGGTAGAGCCGATAACTTGACCTTAATCTAATTCGAGCAGTGAAGGTCGACTGGATCGATGCAGCCATACTTGAACTAGATAAGAGTCGATAACTAGCTTATACTAGAGTTTGTAGTGGAGGTTGAACTTAACCGATGCAGCCGTACAAATAGAAGTATAAGCCATGACGGTACTTACAAACAAGCCGGAGGTCGGCCGGACCGATACAGCCCTGCTTGCTGAAGAACTCATCGAGATCTACTCTACTCCTACTCCTAAGGGTTGGCACGGAGCCAAAAAAAGTAAATTGTATTTGATTGATCGGATGTCCTCTTACAATAGCTAGGGTCTAATATTTATACCCAAAGTCTAAGTATGAATCCTACTCGAGTATGACTCATTATAATCTTTGGTATAAAATAAAGCATTCCTAATTTAAGATAACTTAGACCCTAATCTTTCCCTTTTTGTAGAGTTCAACATGTTTTCCCCGACGCCAACCGTAACTCATTGTCGTTATCTGCTGACGTTATTCGAAGAGAGCCGATTCCAATGTCGCATCTGAATCAGCTGATATTGACCCTTATGTAATCGATTCCTTGATTGACATAATCTTGGAAGCTTTGAGTTCCCGCGTTCCTCTTCCCAAATTTTGGTGTAAACAGTTGTGTAAGATTTTTTTGCGCATATGCCAATGGGGTGGAGTGCACACGTGCGCTTGGATATACACTGCGCTGGCATTTAGAGTGATGGCAATAAAGGGAAATCAAAATTTTTAATGGCACATAGAGACAAACAAAAATTATAATGGCACACAAGGAATTGGCTAAAAAAAAGAGATCCAACCTAGGAGGAACTGTGTAGCTTTTCATTAAATTATTAAAGAAGAGAAACAAGCATCAAATTCAGTCCAAGAGAGGATTTGAACCTGGGCATCACAACTCTCACCCAACCAGTTAAGCTAGGCTCACTTCCTCGACCATATTTTGTAGATGTTAATTCAGCTATTCAAATGAATATTTATATAATTTGTCCAACATGCATTATGAATGTTGCACTATTTCCTCGTATTAGGATGTTATGATATACCTGCTAGACATGAGCATTCTCGGCTCAGCCCATCTTGCGACACTTAGTGGATAGGACCTGGATAGTGAAACACAAACCTAGGGAGACATTTCTTAGCCCAAACCCATCCTAATGTATTTATTAAAGGAAAAAGTTTACATTATCTTTATCAACTTTCGTGAAAGTCTGTTTTTCCTCTCTGAACTCTAAAATCGAGTAAACCACCTTCCTAAACTTTTAAAACCGCTAGGTTTACCTCCCTAGCCGGTTAAAAGCGGTTTTCAAATGCGGTTTTGTCTTTTTTTATTTATTTTGGCTGAATCTTTAAAAAATTATAGTAGATCACAGAAAATCATAAAATAGAAAATTTAATATTTTAGACTCCACATGAGTAGATCTACACGATGAACATATAATATAGTATGCTTTAGTACAAATTTTTTGTTGTAGCTTTAGATTTATGCTTTTCTGTAATTAATTCATAACTGCAGTTTCTATGGTCCAATTATGGTGAATTTTTTATGGTGGGCTAATTATTATATGCTTGAACTGTAGTAAAAATTTTATACTCATTGGATTATTTATAACTTAGTTATAGATTTATAAATATTTTTAACAAGCATACACCTAAATAAATCTATAACTAAGTTATACATGATCCAATGAGTATGAAATTTTTACTACAGTTCAAGCATATAATAATTAGCTTACCATAAAAATTTCACCACAGTTGGACCATAGAAACTGCAGCTATGAATTAATTATAGAAAGACATAGATCTAAAGCTACAATAAAAAATTATACTAAAGCGTATCATATTATAAGTTCAATGTGTAGATCTACTCATGTGGAGTCCAACAAAATTAGATTTTCTATTTTACAATTTTTCTGTAATTTACTATGATTTTTTAAAGATTCAGCCAAAATAAAAAAAATACAAAACCACCTTTAAAACTGCTTATAACTGGCCAGTGAGGTAAAAACGAACGGTTTTAAAAGTTCAGGAGGTGGTTTACTCGGTTTTAGAGTTCACGGAGGAAAAACTGACTTTCGCAAAAGTTAAGGGGGTAATGTGGACTTTTTCCTTTATTAAATTATTTCATACTAGCAAATAGCAGGCCCAAAAAGCTGGCCCGACGCAGCCCATGGGATGGTATGATTTTTTTGGCCTGGCTCGAGATTACCATAAACTACAGAGGCCCAGTGATTACCAACACTAAAGGCCCATTCGATAAGAAGGCCCGACACCTCAAGCCCCGATGCGTCAGGGCCGGCCACATGACAAAACAACCGCTCACTCTTCAGTCTTCAGTGGCGAGCACGTGATCACTCGAAGCCTGCATTCCTCTCGGTGGGAGAGTGATAGCTGGGGAGTGGCAAGCCCAAGTGGCGGCTAGGGTTTTACGACCTCTTTCTCTCTCTCTCTGACTGACTTCCGCACTACCACTCCGCCTCGTCTTCCTTCCACCTCCGTCTCAAAGTCTAAACCCTAGACTAGACTACCTCTCGTGTCGATTACGATTCGCCCATCCATGGCGGTCTCTTCGCCGGCGTGGTTGTTCTAGGTTGCTGATTGAAGGGTCGGATCGGTGTTTCCTGTGATTTGCAAGTGGAGTTTTGAGGCCAGGAGAGGGGGCGCCATGGGTACGAAGAACCAGTTCGATCTCCTCGTCGACGTCGACAACGACGACCCTCCCCACCTCATCGCGGCCGCCGAGAAGAAGGCGGCCGCGTCGCCCAAGCCGGCGCCCGCCGCCCCGGCCAAGCTGCCCACCAAGCCGCCACCGCCCGCGCAGGCTGGTGAGTTCACACACGGTTCCTTTCGAATCGGATCGGAAGTCGGGGTCTCGGGTTTCGTGTTCTGAATCTGATGCGAGAATCAGGGGATTTGGGGCTGAAATGTACCAAGGTGGTTTGGGATTGCTGTACGTACGTGTCGATTTGGTACAGTGAAGAGCGGAGCATTTCGCTTGCCGGATGTATGTGGTTCCTTTAGTGTGGAATTTATCGTCATTTACACCTGTCTATTCAATCCTACGACATTCTAAAATTTGTTTTTTTCCCTCGTTTGGTCTAGTTGTTAGAAACTTGTACAGAAACAGGTTGACATGGGATTTGATGTGCGTTGCTTTGCAGTTAAGGAGTCCAGGAACTATGGCGCTCCAGCTCGTGATGGGGCAGGACGTGGTAGAGGTGGCTTCCGTGGAGGCAGGACGGGCCCAAGGCGTGAATTTGGTGAGGGCAATGCCAATGGCGTTGAGGGAGGTTACGGCGGCGGTGGTTTTGGAGATAGTGGCTTCCTGCGGAGAGAGGAAGGTGATGGAAAGGCTATGGAAAGAGGCCGTGGACCACGTCAGCCTTACCGTGGGGGTGGCCGCCGCGGTGGCTATACTGATGGCGAGGCTGGTGATGAGTCTGCTCGGCCCCCTCGCCGGGCCTATGAGCGCCACAGTGCCACAGGTAGAGGATATGAAATGAAGCGTGAGGGAGCTGGCCGTGGCAACTGGGGAACTGTGACTGATGAGGCCCTTGCACAGTTAGTTTTCTTTTAAAATTTTGTATTTGCTATTCTGAAGGATTTGATATGGTGGATTAACTCAATGTGTAACTCCTTGTGTGCTCCAAATCATCAGAGAGACAGTAGAAACTGAGGGGACTCCTGCTGTGGCTGAGGATGAAAACAAGCCAGAGGAGGTTCCACAGTCTGAGGCTGAGAAGGGCAAGGAGGGCGAACCAACTGAAGCAGAGGAGCCTGAAGATAAGGTACAAGTTGTGTTCTTTATCTCATGAAATCAATTTGCATGTATACTGTACTGTTGTGGGCTTGAAGAAATATCATTTCTCCCTCCATAAATGATATTGATGTGTTATGATGTGAAGAAACAAATTTCTTTAAGCTTGAAGTTTATTTTGTTTTCTAGCTCAAGCTTTAATTGCACGTGCTTAAAACATAATTTCAGTGGTAGAAATGTCTGAAAATAGTTTCAGGACACCCATCTTGCATGTAATGGATGGTATAACTAAAAGTTTTATGTCTTATTTCTTCTCTGCTACTGTCATGTTTTCAGTTTTTGTTTAAAAATTGTAAAGCTTAAGCATCTGTTGCCTCCTTGTGCCAAATCTTGTCATTCTTGTATACCGGCAAACAAGTTAAGTTGTTTCTGCAATCTAGGAAGCAATATTTTAGATTTAAAATATCTACACTAAATGTTGTTGTGGCTTCCTATTTAAACATTGGAATATATCAGACAGCTAGCTGAGCTCCCTGAAGCTTTTCAGGATAGAAGGCTACAGATTATTAAGGTACCACATGGAAAATGACATGTGTTCTCTAGGTCCACATGATAGTAACTAGAAGTGATGCGTGAAAGGTTATATAGACTTTTCATGTTTGCTTAGTGCATCAATTGACCCTTGAGTTTCTAGGAGTATACAATTGTTGATCCTCTGTAGTTGATATTTTCAAATGGTAAGTGCTGAAGCTGCAGCTTAGATATGACTTTATGTCTTCGATTTCCTAAAGATATCATGCAATGCTTGTTGTAGTTGTAGTCATTTTGTTGCGTCTGACAATTTTTCTTAGATGCCAGCCAAAGCTGTTCTTCCAATTCTTAACTAACATAAATTTTCTCAGTGCTAATTATTCAATATGTTTGTACCTACACCCTGATCTGTGGAGCAGCATAAGATGAGTGATTCATAAATACTGTTGCTGAAATTCTAGAAGATCATGGATTGAAATGGTTGAGTTATTTCCATTCACACTATAATACTACGTTACACGGATGTTTTGCTGGGACCTCGTATCGCGTATTGGATACGTATCCAACACGGATACGCATCCGATACGCCGCCGATACGTATCCTCGGAGTATCCGATTTTTTCCTATTTTCGTGAATATTGGATACGTGAGCTGATACATATCTGCCTTGCCGATACGCCCAGCCCAACAAGAAGGACGGTGCCTTATCCTCTGTCACCAACGCCCGCAGTCACACGCCTGTGCCTCGTGCTGCATCCCCGTTCCCTGCTTGGTGACGCCGCATCACCGCTTGCCGGCTGCTGGCCACAGGCAACGAGCCTCCGCCTCCACCTGGACACACATCACAGCCAGCCGCCCGGCTGAAGCCTTGCGTCGTTGCGCGCCCGTACGCCCGAGCGCTGCCGAGGCGCCGATGCTGCCCACACCCCGCAATCCCGCACGGACGCCTCACGTCCGGGCGCACAGCGGCATGAGCACCACCGCCCCATGTGCCAGTGCGTGCCTGTGCTTGCAAGCGCCGACGACGCCTCCCACCTTGCTGCCCACCCGCCCCGGAGGCCGTGACGACCTCCTGCAATTCCCCGTGGTGATTCAGCAGCAACTTCTGGTGATTTCCCCTTTCGATTTCTTTCTTCCCCTCCTGATCTAGTCACTAGTTCTTCCTCAATGGTGGCCTCCAGTTTGTTTCTTGTTTTTTTTGTCTTCCCGTGTGGAAACTGGAAGGATGGGAACGACAATGACTGGGGGAATGAGCGGTGGAGAGATGACTCTGATTTTTTTAAGGTGTCGGTGGGGATAAGTGGTGGACATCAGAGATCTACATTTGTTATTATTATACTACTATATTAAGTAGCTATTAGAAGTTGTGAAATAATTGTAGTAGTCTCTGATCAGCTGCCAGTAATTTTAAAGTATCTTATTATTTATTTTTGTAAAAAAATAATAAAACGTATCCACGTATCGGGATTTTTCGAAAAATGGCGTATCCGTATCTGTCCGATACCGATACACGTATCCGTATCCGTGCTGCATAGCTATAATACTTAAATCTTTTTAATGGGCAGCAACAATAGAGACTTTTCCTAATCAGTTATATAATTCATACTGCACTACTATTTGGCTTCCAATTCATGTGGTTTTTATTCTTCTCATGCACACTTACTGGTGAAAAATGTAAAAATACAATCTACAGATTTTTCATTTATATGCTTAAATTAACCACTAACATAACAAGTACTGAAGTACTAGTCAATGAAGTGTATAGAGTCTTTGGCTGTGTTCGGCTGACCCAAAAAAATCACTGTAGCGGCCGAAAGTTGAGTACTGTTCACGGCTGAATTTGTGAGAGGAAAATACTGTTCCAGATGAAAAAAGAAGCGGATCAAGCCGGGTTTTGGGTCAGCCGAACAAGGCCTTTACCATTATAATCAATCTGGTCTCTTCTGAGCTGGGAATATGCCATCCATGTGCTGCGCACCACCTGAAGTATGTGGTTGTAATTATATAACTGTGTGACTGCATGAACTGAGTGATTCTGCTTAGCTGCAGTCAATAGCAAGCTGTTTTCTGTGTTTTAATTTTTTAGTACTACAACAACAAAGCCTTTAAGTCCCAAACAAGTTGGGGTAGGCTAGAGTTGAAACCCAGCAGAAGCAATCAAGGTTCAGGCACGTGAATAGCTGTCTTCCAAGCACTCCTATCTAAGGCTAAGTCTTTGGGTATATTCCATCCTTTCAAGTCTCCTTTTATTGCCTCTATCCAAGTCAACTTCGGTCTTCCTCTGCCTCTCTTCACGTTACTATCCTGGCTTAGGATTCCACTACACACCGGTGCCTCTGGAGGTCTCCGTTGGACATGCCCAAACCATCTCAACCGGTGTTGGACAAGCTTTTCTTCAATTGGTGCTACCCCTAATCTATCACGTATATCATCGTTTCGAACTCGATCCCTTCTTGTATGACCGCAAATCCAACGCAACATACGCATTTCCGCGACACTTATCTGTTGAACATGTCTTTTCGTAGGCCAACATTCTGCACCATACAACATAGCGGGTCTAATCGCCGTCCTATAATTTTTGAGTACTGATGATGGGAAAATGTGTTGTCTTTGCACAGCCGCATCATAGTGTTGACATTATATTCAGAAATTGTCTGTCATGCTCTTGTTTTTCCATGCTGATCATGGGCTGATTGGTCTAGTGAGTCTTTCACATCCAACAAAATTGTTGGCTCTGCAAGTTCTCAATTTCATCCAGCCTATAGATAGCTTAGGTGGCAGCATCAAGGTTTTCATGCATTACCTTTGCGTGCATGAATTCAGGAAGCTGCTGTGCATTTATAGCCCTCTATTAAAAATGTGAACACACTTGATCAACCGCAGGCATGCCGCATGCACATACTTCCATTAGCTTCTGTGTTTTAACTTTTGAGTACTGACGATGGGAAAATGTGCTATCTTTGCACAGCTGCATCATAGTGTTGACATTATATTCAGAAATTGTCTGCCATGCTCTTGTTTTTCCATGCTGATCATGGGCTGATTGATCCAGTGAATCTTGCACATCCAACAAAATTGTTGGCTCTGCAAGTTCTCAATTTCACCCAGCCTATAGATAGCTCAGGTGGCAGCGTCAAGGTTTTCATGCATTACCTTTCCGTGCATGATGAATTCAGGAAACTGCTGTACATTTATAGCCCTCTATTAAAATGTGAACACACTTGATCAACCGCATGCACATGCAACATATCTCCGTTAGCTTTTTTTGGAGAGCCTTTGTCGTGTGGTTTATGTTAACTAATTGAGTTCGGTGATATGCTTAATAATATTTATATCATGGCAATGCTTCCTCTTTTTGTCTGTGGGTTCTTTTAGTATGTATTGTGTTTGTGACACTTCCTTTGGCATTACCTTTTGTGCACGCTTCTAATTCTGAACCCCACGGGCACCACCCCAGGTCAAATTATTATAGTTTTTTGTTCTAGCATGCTCGAGTCTAGATGGTCCTATGCAGTATCCTATTGCCCTTATGATAGTATGTAAACAACAAATTTCTTTAATAATATGAACTCATGGTTGTGCTTCATTGAATTAAATCATATTTGAACCTACCTGCTTTTACAGGAGATGACATTGGAAGAATATGAGAAAGTATTGGAGGAGAAAAGGAAAGCTTTACTTGGACTGAAGTCTGAAGAGAGAAAGGTTGAGGTGGACAAGGAGTTGCAGTCCATGCAACAGCTTTCAGTGAAAAAGGGTGCCGATGAAATTTTCATCAAGCTGGTAGAAACAATCTATCACACTGCTCTTTGCACATAATCTACGGATTGCTCCTCCTTTTTTGACAGAGTGTTGCTCATTTGACTATATGGTGGCAGGGTTCTGACAAGGATAAGAAGAAAGAAAACTCAGAAAAGGATGAACGTGCCAAGAAGGTCTGTATAACATTCAAAGCATCCCCCCCCCCCAGACTAAGTCTCATGAAACTCTTCCTTTGGCCCCAGTTCCAATTCATTTACGTTCGTTTTCTTTTCTTCTCATGCAGTCCGTCAGTATCAATGAATTCCTGAAGCCAGCTGAGGGTGAAAGGTACTACAGCCCTGGTGCCCGGGGTCGTGGTCGTGGCAGAGGCCGTGGTGACCGCGGGGGTTTCCGTGGTGGGTACAGCCCTCGGGAGTTCGCTGCTGCGCCAGCACCGGCGATTCAAGATCAAGCACAGTTTCCCTCACTCGGTGGGAAGTGAAGGCTCCCAAGCTGCTATGAACTCATTGCTTAAAAGTTAAAACAACTCGTGTCCTACGCATTAGTACTGTACTGCCGCTCTATATCAGAGCCAGGTGTTTGTCACACAGTTAAGCTTCTGTTTTCCTTTTAATTTTCAATAGGATGCCTGCATGTCATGTGATACCATTGTCGGTTAAAAGATTTTGCTCAGCATGAGTCTAGCTCGTTCTTGTCTGGTGATCTTTATTAAAAAAAAAAAAGACAACCGTGCATCTCTTTCCAGTTTGCGACTTAAGATGTAGTGGAGTGAAACGATTTGTTTATACGGAGTATTTCCTAACGCGAGAGTCCGACCTAGGACCTTTTCTTTCTTTTTAACTAGTTGCGTGTTTATTTGGGAATAGGCTAGGCAGCCTTTTATACGCAGAAGGCACATGTGCCGTTGTAATTTGCTTCCAAATGTTACTTGGGCCGAGTCCATTAGAATTGGGCTCGCATGAAACTTGCCGTTGTAATTTGCTGCCAGATATTTCATTTAGAGATTTTCTCCAGTGCACCCTTCTCATTTTTTCATTATAGTACAATATAAATACTACTTCTGTCCTAACAAATAAAGAAATTCTAGGTGTAGCATAAGTCAGACTATCATAAGTTTTATGTAAATATATTTTGACTTAGTTTATAAAAATTTAGTGTTAACATTCGTGACTCCAAATAGATATATTATGAAAATATATTCCATAATGGATACAATGGTATTTATTTTGCATCATAAATATTGTATCATTTTGTATAAATTTACCCAAATTTAAAATGATTCATTTAAGGATAAAGTTAGAATTGTATTATTTTCAAGATTGATAGGTCAATGTGATGAGCACAAGTCCTTTCAACATATCTTTCCGAAGAGCACTGGTGGAAAATAAGTTAGTGGCTTGGCATGATTACTTAACTGATAGTGGTGCCTATATACATGATTGGATTGTATGGAGACTCGAAATTCCTCTAAACTTCGATTTCTACGCAATGGTGTCATCCTCACCAACGGTAACTTAATAAATAAATAAGATGGCAAGGTAGCAAACAATGTTGTTTTTGTTGTCCTGTTGATGAGATAATCTAGCATTGGTTCTTTGAATGTCCTTGCACAAAGTTTCTTTGGAGATATGTTATAACTAATTTTGTTTTACACCCTCCTAGTTTTGTTGCACACATGTTTGTTTCTTGGCTAGAGTAAACAAAAAGAAAATAATAAACACCAAAGATTGGGATATTCTATGTTCATTACTAAACCAAAGATGCTTATGACCATAATAACATTATTACATAATTGCACCCGCAGCGAAACCAAACCAATAATTCTTACAAAACAAAAGTGCTTAATAAAAAACCATCTCTCCTTCAGCAAATTTGGTTGCTAAACCCCCTTTCATGCCTTGTGAAGATCTCCATAGTTGTTTTCTTGGGTGCTAGGCATTCCCAACACTCAAGATCTTGATCCCCTCCTTTTGCAAAGCAACTAAAATCCCGTCCAATGTATGTCTGTTAATAACACATGCATACAAGACTGAATAGTTTGTTTATCAAATACAATATCGTTTTGACTGAGTCATATCAACCAACAACAAAGGTAGATCACTAACTCCACAAAATATTTGGAACTTGGTTTTTCGGTTCGCTCTAGGTAGCCAATCATTGTGCTGGATCCCAAAAGTTGAAGATAGTCTCAAAGAGCAATATCCAAATAATACATGCAATCAGGTTATCACATCAGAGAAATCAAATATCCAACACAAAAAAGACTCATAATGTGGGGAACTGCTCCAATACTCCTCTTTCTAAAAAATTGCACGCATCTTAAGGCACTCTATCCAATTAATTAAATAATTATTTTCTAATTACTATTCATCTGGGTCCCGTAAGGATCCGGCCCTTCCAAGCCCAGACCGTGTATGTAGCGCATATCCAGCCCATTTGTTTCTCTCCTCGAGATTCCTTCGTACTTAGTGACGAGGTCTCTTCACGGCAGCGAACCTCCACGCACGGTATGTCCAGCCCAAGTCGATCTGGTCTCCATCTTCGGTTTCGTGTGAGAAGATGGGTGTCTGCGGCTGTCTACTGCGGTTCTGCCGTGTGGAGGAGGTAGGCAAGGAGGGACACCACGATGGCTGCATAGTGGAGAACCTGACACCGCCGCCGAGGTAGCACCCTCTAAATCCATGGCCTCCGTGGCTCCGTCGCATCACCTGGTAATAGATGGATAATATAAAAGGAAATTATATTTAATTAATTTGATGGGCTGGGCATGGTCTGGGCTTGGAAGGGCCAGATCCATGTGGTATATAGATGGATAGTATAAAAGGAAATTATATATTTTAATTAATTTCATGGGATGCTTTGAGATTCGTGCGATTTTTAGAAAGAGGAGTACCGGAGCAGTTCTCCATACTGTGTTGGGTGACCATCCGTTGCTGAAACAGTCAAACAACTTTTTTTTTCTTTTGTCACCAAAGTTTTCTTTTTAGCTTGGCCAAGTATTTACATTGCCAAAATGTTCAAATAAATTGCTCATCTTCCTCGTGAATTTAAGCTTTTATGTTAAATTGGTAGATACATGCAATTTAACAGAGCTAGAGGTCTTCAAATCTTAAAAAGCTCGTTTTGAAAAAAAAAATTGTTATCAGCTACTATTCTACGTCTGAGGCCCGAGTGAGCCTTCATATGGTCGGAATTATTTATTGAAATACAACAAGAAAATGTCCACTTCTCTCATCAGGATAAGCTTTTTGATTTGAATTGGCATGCGCCTAATACTCGGTACAAAATCGTTGGTACTATGATCGGCGGTGGCATGGCATCCAACAGAAGAGACCCTAATCCTATCCTATCTTGTAGCAAATCATCTTAGCACAGCAGTAGCGCATCCCCACGGGCGAGGACCGAGGACGTGTGGACCGCGGTCCGGCCAGACGGCCAGTTGTGGCTCTGGCTCTGCGACCACCGGGTCAACAGCCGGCCCAGGCACCCCCTGTTCCTCCATGAACGATGAACGATGAACGAACGAGAACGATGATTGCTCCTGCTTGCCTGCGCTGCGCCACCGTGCACGGACCACCACGCCGCAGCACAGTGACAGTGGCATCTTGCTCTTAGTCGCAGCCACAGCCAGCCACACCGTAGCTAGCTCGAGCTGGAGCACTACACGAGTTGCGACAAGCCGGCGTACGCACGGTGGCCCCCCGGCCGTCGTCGCGTCTGGCGCGGCGCACAGGAACGCAGGCAATGATGAGCGCTGCTCTGGCTGTCTGGCAGCCGCTGACATGCAGTTGATGCCGGGACGTGATAGATGTGTCCACGGCTCCACGCGACGCGACGCCGGCCTGGACGTGTCGCGCGCGGGATCGCGGCAGGGCGAGCGCTCCAGCAGAAACAGAACAGGCAGAGCAGCAGCCGTCCCGTGCATGGGGCTCTCTCTCGGGCCAGCATCTTTTCGCCGTTTGCAGCAGGTGCAGGGAGGCCTTCTGCCTGCCGCCTGTCGCCAGACGCGCTGCAGGCCTGCAGCCGTTACAGTGCGGCACTGTATAGGGTACGGGTAGGGCGCCATGGCCGGCTTTGCAGTGCGCTGTTCCGGGTGCACACTATGGAATTTGATGGTAAATCCCATGATGGCACTGGGTTATAGAGATATAATTTTTAGTTCACGGGACTAAGGCTATGTTCGGCTGCCTGAAAAAACGGCTGATACTGATGCTGACTCGTTGTGAAAGAAAAACTCTGTTATTTCACCGAAACGGTAGCGCTTATAAATTCAAGCGAACAGTGCCTAACTCCGGCCCGCAACCACTCATGTGGCATTATACCTGCTACGTTACCTGTAGCGCAACGAATGCAAACAACATGACTGACAGGAACAGCGTGGAGATACCACCAGTTCTGGAGTATGTCAGGACGTCTGTGTGTGCAACTGCGCTACTTTTCGAGAAAAAAGTGTGCGCGCGCGACAGTATAACAATCACATCGAGATCCAAATCCCAAAGTAATCAGGCCTCGAGTCTCATGTGACCATAACAAAGATGAAAGACCATATTGCCTGTGTACGATCAGGTTACTGAGATTCCAAGCATAACTATGGCCACTTGTGATCGCATTTTCCTCAAATCAAACACAAAATATGAGCTCACTTGCAGCTCAATATGGCTCTGTTCGCTTCTCTTATAATCCATACTTTTCAGTTTTTTTTAACCGAAACAGTGTTTTTCTCTCACAACAAATCAGCCGGAACAGTGTTTTGGCTTGTTTTTTCAGCGAAACGAACGAAGCCATACTTGTAAACCTATTACCATTTCTACTATACACCAGGACAATGTATCAGCAAAAGCTTTCAGCCTACAAATTGCTAGGAAGTGAACCCAAAAAAACTGAGACCAGGAGGTAGGGCGAGGGAATAATACAGGATTGGGCAATCTCAGCTTCACTGCATTATGAGGGACACAGCACTAATATCTGTTGGAGATACTCTGCTTGTCTCGGTCCCAAGAGGCCCTCAAAGCACTGTAGGAGCGTTTCCCCTCGCCAGACCTTTGCGATTCTTGTTGAGCCGGGCTACTACTGTGCTCCTGGTAATGTTGTTGTTCGTTCAGCATTCTCCAGCTTCTGCTCCCAGAATCACTACTACTGCCAGTAACAGAACCAGATTCCACGACCATGTCACCCTCAAGAATGCGAATAACCTTTATTCACAAGACACAAGGGTAAGCATACATGCAATCTAGCTTTTATCACTGGAAATGGAGATGTAAAAAAATTAGTTTTATCACTAACATGGGACATGCGAGGCCTTGAATGTGGGTCACGTCTTATGCACAGGTTTGCCGCGTGCAGCATGCAGTACACCTCGTTTTCAGAGTAGCGCTCTCCGAGTCGTGGGTCTATGAGCTCGTCAATTGCACACTCCTCCAAGAATGGGCGTGCCTGTACAATCCAAATCTTGCAAGTTCAACACACAAATTGTAGCTATGT